ACTCCATTCGACTACAAAATTGTGAAATTTTTCAATAAATTGTTTGACTTGTTTTTTCGCCTCCTAATAGATATGAGGACTGATCAAGCCAGATTTGTTCAGGTCGTCGATTTTCAGATTCGCAGTGTTGTATCGGAACATGATTTCGTGCCCTCAATTTCTTGCATTTTGTTTAGTAGTTGTTTTCTACGGAAAATATTGATTATCGCTGAGCAAATTGGGTTGGCGTTTATTGTTTTCCAAAACGATTACGGGGAACGATTTGAGCTGATTTTATTCAGTAAAAACATATATGTTGCTGCATGTTCTATGCCAAAGTACACTATGTACGATTCATTTTGTCTCCTGTTTCAATGCTTTATGAACTTCCTCGCTTTCAGTGCTATATATCATTAATAAATGCCTAATTTGATAATTCTATTCTCAAGTAGATTTACTTGTTATTAGATCTAGTTTTTTTATTTTGCTTGTGTTGTTTTCTTACAAATTACAAATGTGCGGATGCCACCCAACTAAGACGTCTTCACACATTCTTTGAGAGGGACATTGTGAGATCCCACATCGATTGGGGAGGAGAACGAAACATTCTTTATAAAGGTGTGGAAAGCTCTCCTTAATAGACGCATTTTACGCATTTTAAAAAACTTGAGGGGAGGTCTGGAAGGGAAAGCCCAAAGAGCACAATATTTGCTAGCAGTGGGCTTAGGTCGTTACAAATGATTGTGAGATCCCACATTGGTTGGGGTGGAGAACGAAGCATTCTTTATTAGGGTGTGGAAACCTCTCCTTGGTAGACGCGTTTTAAGAACCTTGAGGGGAGACCCGGAAGGGAAATCCCAAAGAGGACAATATTTGCTCGTGGTGGGCTTGAGCCGTTACAAATGGTATCAAAGTCAGACACCAGGCGATGTGCTAGCGAGGAGGTTGAGCCCCAAAGGGGGTGGACATGAGGCGGTGTGCCAGTAAGGACGCTGGGTCCCAAAGGGGGTAGATTGGGGGGTCCCACATTGATTGGAGAAATGAACGAGTGCCAGCGAGAATGCTGGGCACCGAAGGGGGGAGGATTGTGAGATCTCACATTGGTTGGGGAGGAAAACGTAACATTTTTTATAAAGATGTGGAAACCTCTTCCTAGCAGACGCATTTTAAAAACCTTGAGGGGAAGCCTGGAAGAGAAATTCCAAAGAGGACAATATCTACTAGCGGTGAACTTGGGCCGTTACAGACATGGTCATCCACTTGAGAAATATTTTCCCGAGAACTTTCTCCTATATACATATTTTGATGATTCAAGGGAAAAAAAATATCACATCCCATATATATTTTCCCAATGTCATCCTTTTGTTTCCTTAGCTATCCTTTTGTTTAGAAGGAAGGAAAATTGGAGTAAAGCACCTCATCGGTCCTTGAGGGAAAGATCAGAATTTTGAAGCAATTTTTCAGTAACCAGGAGTAAAAATGGCCAGAACATGCTTTTATAGTTAAAATTAAGTTGATAGTCTCAAGCGTTGCCTGCTGCACATATTATGTTTGATTTGGCAATTATGCTACTAGAGAAAACAATGGATGGAAGAAAACATGATATTAATTATTGATATCATTGTCTGTTTAAAAGATACGACCCTGCAGTACTCCAGCTAGGAATGGAACAGAGTTCATTTTCAAATTTTATATGTGCTTCCGTTTGATTTGTGTCAAATTTTATATGTTAATGTAAGACAGAAAAAGTATATGCTTGCAGTTTGCTGACACTGCTTAATGCTTCTATTTTACTTTTTCTGGCAGTGGAATGCTTGTCCAAGATCCTTCCAAAGGTAATTCTGTCGATGCAATTTTTGATCAAGCCAGACAATCAGCAGTCAGTGTACCTATCGGACCACCTTCAGCTTCTAAAAGCTTTACTGGAACTGCAAGATTGCTCTCTGGTGAGACAGTACCATCAATTCCTAGGCACCCTGAGGCTGTCACGCATACTGTCACTTTTTGGAGGAATGGTTTCTCTGTTGATGATGGTCCTCTACGGAGGTTGGATGATCCTGAAAATGCACCGTTTTTAGAGGTAACAACATGTAAAACCCAATTATTTTGTTATTCATGGTTTCCAAAGTTAAGTTTGACTCAAGAGAGTTTTTGAGCTTTGTCTGAAGATGACATGCTGTTGCCTATGATATTTATGTTCTTCAATTGCTCACGGACGTCATTTGATCTGCCTTTTTGGAACTTGAAAGGATTTCAACCTTCCCAGTCTTGGATAACCTGCAAAATACTTTATAATTGTTGGTACTTCTAAGTTAATGCCAGGTTCATTTGTTATCAACACTCATAAACTGAGTTGGTTTTGTTATGCTTGAAATCTTTGTGGAAGAAATAGATGGCTATGTTCTCCAAAGTTTTGGCTATGGATTCTTGATGTCCAAGATCTAAGCGTGCTAGATTTTATTTTCATGTTTAATCTACGAGCTGTAACATGTTCTATATTATGGCAGAGTATTAGAAGGTCAGAGTGCCCGGTAGAGCTTGAACCTGCAGACAGGAGGACTTCTGTCAATGTTAACCTCGTCAGAAGGGAGGATGACTACCCAGTACGTTGACAACCTGACCCTTTCGACAATCTATTTTTCTAGACATCGTTTTAATATTCCATTTAACTTTTCATCTCCGACTGATACAGGAACCAGTGAAGCGCCGCCATGCTCTATTCCAAGGCGTTGGAAGAACATTAGCCAGTGACTCCCTGGAGTCGGTCGCTGCTGAGCAGAGTTCTGCTTCGATATCACCAAACGCTGCCCCATCCCCATCAACAGGTTTGGTGGTAGACGATTCACTGCCAATAACTTCTCTTCAGCTAAGGCTGTCGGATGGAACACGAATGATCTCGCGTTTCAACCACCACCATACAATCAGGGACATTCGTGGCTTCATCGATGCGTCGAGACCTAGTGGTGCAAGAAATTACCAACTCCAGACAATGGGGTTCCCTCCCAAACAACTGGTTGAATTGGATCAAACCATCGAGCAAGCTGGAATATCCAATTCTGTTGTGATTCAGAAATTCTAACAGGCTGAAACTCATTCGACGGCAAAGGTTAGCTTAGCAAACATTGAAACAGAGTCTTTCATCCTATATCTTATTTGGGTTTTGGTAGCTATGCTTACAAGTATAAGTTTGCTTTGACATGTGGCCTAGTGTTTTATAGGGTCAGCTTCCATTTCGACTTAATTATCATACCTTAATAATATTTTTACTTAGTTGACTTAATTCGCTTGTAAGCTTTTTCCCACTTTCTAAACCATTAATATGTTTCATTCCTTTAACTTCAACATCAAAGTTTGTGGGTCAAGTGTCACCATCCACAATGTGATTATACCATGAGAAAGTTATTGATTGAGGAGGGCGATGGAATTGTGGATTGAGAAAGTCATCGAGGAGGACGATAACTAATTTAAATAAAGGTGAATGTCACCGTCATACTAAGAATAGGTTGTGACCTTCTCATATAGACAAGATAAGGTGGTGACATGGTAGTGGCACCTAACCAGCTATGTGATGACTGAGCCAAGACAAGTGTCATGATGCGAATAAGAAAGATGGTGCATTATCTTATACACCATTGAAATGTGCATGAAAATTAAGTCTTTTTTCAGGCTATTATTCCTTGGTAGATTGTGACACCAAACATCTCACCGACATGCATATTTTCTTGTTCTATTATAATCACGTGTTTACTCCGCTTACCTAGTTTGTTGATGAAGCTTAAGCGTTGTAAAGGGAGATTGGCGTGGGTACGTGGATTGCCCATGTGCGACGTGACCAAATAAGGAAGCCCAGATTAAATGACTTTCTTCTGGAAAAAAACAGAGAGAAGAATGAGCTATCGGCCCCTTTTGGTTATTTATTTATTTATTTATTTCAGGAAACCTTTCACTTATGAGTCTAAATTAAGCTGATTATTTAATTTATTTTACCAACAAACTGCAAATAAAAAAAATAAATTAAAAGAATTAAATATATTTTTTTTAAAAATAAATTCAAAGAATTAAATATATTTTTAAACCACGTGAACGTCACCCATAGCCGTTACATCCATTTAAAGTAATAAGTTTTAGTTTAATGATTCTATAACGTATACTTCCTTTTTTTTTTTTTTAAGTTTATTTGGTGGGAAACAATAAAAAAATAAAATCAAAATTGGAAATACTCAACCAAATAATAATTAAGAATGTAGTTATTTTCCCTCCTTCCACTATTTCTAAATTTTTTTAAATAAAACTTCATAGATATCTTTTACTTTTTTTAAATTTTAAAAATTCAAAATATTTTTACTATTAATATAAACTTAAAAATGCTCCGAAATTTCTACATTATTAAAATACTTATAGTTCATCGATCTTCTTTTTTCACAATTATTTATAACAATTGTGATATTGATCCCTTACTTTATTATCTTATCACGTTCAAAATTAAAAAAATTAAAATACATATTTATTATTATAAAAGTGTTGACTTTTTTTTTTTTTTTTTTTTTTTTTTTTTTTTTTTTTTTTTTTTTTTTTTTTTTTTTTTTTTTTTTTTTTTTTTTTTTTTGTACTTCATTCTATATAAGTTTATTTAGGGTGAATTAAGGATATCTTAATCATCACTTTTAATTGTAATAATTTTTTTTATTTATAATTTAGTCCTTTTAACTTCTAAAATTTTAACCTTTTTAATGGTATAATATATCTAAAATTTCTTTAATTAAAAGGTTAGGAATAGTGATTTTTTTTTAATAATATATTGACTAAATTGAAATTAGAAAAAAAAATGATAAATTTCAATTAAAAAAGTACATGAAAATAAGAAGAATCAGAACCGTCCATTAGAGATCGAACGGCGAAGAAGAGGTGAGAGAGGTAGCCCAATAATTTCAAAGAAGGAGCCGTTAGAGTAAATGGACAGAGTGGTGTGCGGGCCTGTCGTCTCCTTCCTTTCCTTCGATTAAATGCAAATGTCAATGACGTTTGGTCACCCTATCATAATCCACAGAAGATAACAGGTAAAAGATCAAAAAACAGAAGCTGCCGAAAATCAAAAGGGTCTTAATCCCGGTTTTCCCGTCACCATTTTCAATCCTTTGACGTACCCTTTTCAATCAATCACCGACCCTGTCGCCCTTTTCGTTTTGTTTATTGTTTTCTCAAATTTCAGGTGCGTGCATGAGATGTGAGCATCAAGTATTTGCACCTCACATGTCTGACACTCTCTGATTTCTTCTTCTTCTTCCTTTTCCCCCTTTTGATCCTTTCCCATCTTCTCATCGTGTTATTCATTTTTTCAGAATCTTCACGTTGTTTGCACTACTGGGTACCTTTTTTTATTGATGTTCTTGCCTGGAATCTGCCTGTTCATCTCGATTTCAACGTTTTGGGGAGTTTTTGGCTCATCTGGACTGAAGCAGTGAGTATTGGTGATCTGTTGTGGAAGAGTTTGAGTTGAAATCGTAAAAAGAGAGTGCCCAAATTGTGAGTTCTCTGGATTTGTAAACTGGGTTTCTGTGGATTTGTTGCTATGTTTTTAACCTTTTGGGTTATTTTCATTTGATTATCGTATTGAGTTTCATGAACAATCAACTCTGCGGTGACCTATTTTCTTTTCCTCTTTCTTCTTGATGGGTTTTTGTGCAGATTAGTAGATTTTTAGTTGAAGAGGATAAATGGCATCCATCGCGGATATAGGAGTTGGGGCAGCCATTAACATTCTTAGTGCTTTTGCGTTCTTTATAGTATTTGCTTTACTTCGGATACAGCCAGTGAACGATAGGGTCTACTTTCCCAAATGGTACATTAAAGGCTTAAGAGGAAGTCCATTGTCTAATGGTGCAATGGTAGGCAGAATTGTGAATTTGGATTTCAGATCATACTTGAAGTTTCTGAACTGGATGGTTGCAGCTTTGCGAATGCCAGAACCCGAGTTAATCGATCATGCCGGGCTCGATTCTGCTGTTTACCTGAGGATTTACTTGTTAGGGTAATTGTTTATCTTCTTTCTCAGTAGTTTGTAGTTTGCCATGGGAATATTCCTACTGCACTGTTTCTTGACTGTCCAGGAGATTTTTCTTGTGAAAATAAGATAGTGGGACTCTGTTGAGAACTAAAGAGAATAATAAAAAATAAAAAAAAAACTTCCCTGCTAGGAAATACGAACCTCCACCGTGGTATGAAATTGTCCACTATAAGCATTAGCTCTTGTGACTTTATTTTCTTGTTCCCCAAAAGGCCTCATACAATGGAAATGTATTCGTTACTTATAAACTCGTGATCAACCCCTTAATTGGCCGATGTGGGAATCCTCTCCCAACCATCCTCTCCTTGAACAAAGTACACCATAGAATCTCTCCTGAGGCCTATGGAGAGCCCTCGAACAACCTCCCCCCTTAATCGAGGTTCGACTCCTCTGAAACTCTCGTACTATTGTTGTTCGACATTTGAGGATTCTATCGACATGGCTAAGTTAAGGGCATGACTCTAATACCATATTACGAATCACAAACATTCACAATGATATGATATTGTCCACTTTGTGCATTAGCTCTCATGGCTTTGTTTTTTGGTTTCCCCAAATACGAATGGAGATGTATTCTTTACTTATAAACCTGTGATCAACCCCTTAATTAACCGATGTGGGACTCCTCTTCCAACCATCCTCAACATTCCCAATCTGGTTTCATTGATTTTGTCTATCCACCTTAGTTTCTTTAAATTTTAATTGCTGAGAATTTGATCAGTTGTGGGATAACGGGGAGTTTGAATTGAATCCTTAAAAGTCATACCAATTCGGAACTTTAACTTTTATATGTTACAAACATGATAGGTTTTCCTATACTTCCATATGTTTCCCTATATTCCTCATCTCCTTTTGTCAAAAGTTAATACTTGTGTGGTATTTATCATCTTATCATCTTCTTCATCGACTGAAATTTTAGCTTTTTCTTGCCATTGTGTTGCAGGCTCAAAATTTTTGTGCCCATTGCATGTCTGGCCTTCACAATCCTGGTACCCGTTAATTGGACAAATGGAACTTTGGAGCATTCTTCTTTAAATTACAGCGATATAGACAAGCTTTCCATTTCCAACATTCCTGTTGGATCACGTAGGTATGCAACAGAAGTTTTTTAAGAAACAATCATTTGGACATGCATGATTTTTCCTCCTCCTAAGTTGTCGGACAGTTCTCAAATCTTCAATCTCTTTCTTCATGCTCAATGGATTGCCTTTTCATTACTAATTTATCATAGAAATGAATTTGCGAGTCAAACAGAAATGGGTCCATCTGATAGAAATTTGTGAGGTCTCACCTCGGTTGGAGAGGGGAATGAACCATTCCTTGTAAGGGTGTGGAAACCTCTCCTTAGTAGACGCGTTTTATAACCGTGAGGCTAATGGCGATACGTAACGGGTCAAAGCGGATAATACCTGCTAGCGGTGGTCTTGGGCTGTTACAAATGGTATCAGAGCCAGATACCGAACGGTGTGCTAGTGAGGACGTCGGGCCCCTAAGGGAGGTGTGGAAACCTCTCCCTAGTAGACGCATTTTAACAACGTGAGACTGACGGCGATACATAACGGGCCAAAGCGAACAATATCTACTAGCGGTGGACCATGCAATAGAACTTTCATTATGGAATTAAGAAATTGAGCTAGGAAGAGAATGATTTATACACTAAGTCGTAATTTTCTGGGATATGGGTAGTCAGATAATAAACATTGATGAATGAGCTGTAAACTTCTTAATTTCATCACCACGTTAGATCATAAAAGATGTTCTCATTTGCTTTTATATCACTTATTGCAGATTTTGGACCCATTTGGTTATGGCTTATGTCTTTACGTTTTGGACTTGCTATGTGTTGAGAAAGGAGTATGAGAATGTTGCTTTAATGAGGCTCCATTTTCTTGCGTCCGAAAATCGGCGTCCAGATCAGTTCACGGTACGATTGTCCCTGAATCCCTGATTATTATTAACCTCATTTTGGGGTGGCCAAGGTCTGAGAATGGTGCATTTGCTATACCTTTCTCTAAGCATTGAACTTAAATAAGCAAAACTTTTCTACGTACTAGTCATCAAGCTCGTTCAACTCGTAGTTAACATGTATGCTGACATCAGTTGTATGATGCAGGTGATTGTTAGAAACGTACCTCCAGACCCTGATGAATCCATTAGCGAGCTCGTTGAACATTTTTTCCTGGTCAATCATCCTGAACATTACCTGAATCATCAGGTCAAGATCTTTCCATGAATGATTCTATAAAAATGCCACTGATTAGATTTAAATATAAGAAATTTGGTTAGGATATGTTGAGGATTGTCGGGTGGAAGTTCCACATTGGCTAATTAAGGAGAAGATCATGGGTTTATAATTAAGAAATACATCTCTATTGGTATGAGGCCTTTTGGGGAAACCAAAAGCAAAACCATAATTCTTAATATGGTATGAGAGCCATGCCCTTAACTTAGCCATGTCGATTAAAGGGAGGTTGTTCGAGGGCTCCATAGGCTTCAGGGGAGGCTCGTGGACAATACCATTACGGAGGTCTGTGATTCCTTGTGATTCCCAACAGGATAGCCAACATATGATGGAATATCTGACCTCCTCAATTTCTCCAAGTTTTAAAAAATCGTTTCTGAGATATTGGTTTTGTCCTTTTCACAAATTGCACGAACATCTTCTGTTGAGTTATGATTTATGTGTTCCTGACACCTGCTGAAGTTCTTCATATGCTATGCAGATTGTTTATGATGCAAACAAACTCTCTAAATTGGTTGAAGAGAAGAAAAAAATGCAGAATTGGCTAGATTTCTACCAGCTTAAACGTTCTCGAAACCAGTCCAAGAGGGTCACTGTGAAGGTATTAGAGCTTTTGAACTCGAAAATTGGTAACTATTTGAGGTTGCACTACATGTTTCCTATTACTAACACCCTGTGGGCAGACTGGTTTTCTAGGTCTTTGGGGAGACAAGGTAGATGCCATAGATTATTACTCGTCCAAAATCGAAAGTCTATCAAAAGAAGTGAGTTACACAGTCTTTTACTCTTAGTCGGCGCGTTGATATCATTGAGATGTAATTTATATATTCTCGAAATGGTTACGTTCAGATACCACTGGAGATGGATAAGACAATGAATGATCCTAAATCAATCATGCCAGCAGCCTTTGTTTCCTTCAAATCTCGGTGGGGCGCTGCTGTTTGCGCACAAACTGAACAGTCAAGAAATCCGACCATTTGGTTGACAGAATGGGCTCCTGAGCCCCGTGACGTGTACTGGGATAACCTGGCTATTCCATTTGTTTCACTGGCAATCAGGAGGCTCATTGCTGGAGTTGCCTTCTTCTTCCTTACCTTCTTTTTCATGATCCCCATTGCATTGGTTCAGTCCCTTGCTAACATGGAGGGCATTGAGAAAACGGCTCCCTTCCTCAAACCCATTATTGAATTGTGAGTATCGTTTCTCTCCACGCTTGGCCCTCTAGTGCTTACTGTTCATGAAATTATCTTCTGAACATGAAACTTTCTAATTACAATGCAGGAAATTCGTTAAGTCGGTTATCCAAGGCTTTCTTCCTGGAATCGCTTTGAAGATTTTCCTCATCGTTCTTCCTTCTATACTGATGTTAATGTCGAAATTCGAAGGATTTATTAGTCGATCGTCTTTGGAGAGAAGATCCGCCACAAAATATTACATATTCCTATTTGTTAATGTGTTTCTTGGCAGTATAATCACAGGAACCGCATTCCAGCAACTTAATAATTTCCTTCATCAGTCTGCAAACGAGTAAGCCATCACTGATAATGTGGCAAATCACCTGCATAGCTGATTGAATTCTTTAAAGAATTTTCTGTAAACTAATTCAACTTTTTGCAGCATTCCGAAGACGATAGGTGTCTCGATTCCGATGAAGGCAACGTTTTTTATTACCTTCATCATGGTGGACGGTTGGGCTGGAATTGCTGCAGAGATTCTGAGGCTTAGGCCTTTGATAATGTACCACCTTAAAAACTTCTTCTTGGTTAAGACTGAAAAGGATAGAGAAGAAGCCATGGATCCAGGAAATCTGGAGTTCAACACAGGCGAGCCTCGAATTCAGCTTTATTTCTTACTCGGGCTCGTTTATGCTGTTGTCACACCTCTTCTCCTTCCGTTCATTGTTATATTTTTTGGATTGGCATATGTCGTCTATCGTCATCAGGTAAATCTATTTTTTCTAACTTCAGCTCTTTAGTTTGCTCCCCATGTTCCATTTTTATCTGCAAATAATGATGGGTTTGAACTTTATGAAATATGGGTACGGTTGTTGAGAGAGGAGTCCCACATCGGCTAATTAAGGGGTTGATCACGGGTTTATAAGTAAAGAATACATCTAAAATCTTTTGGGGAAACCAAAAGCAAAGTCACAAGAGCTTATGCTCAAAGTGGACAATATCAAACCATTGTGTAGGTTTGTGGTTCCTAACATCGTATCATAGTCATGCTCTTAACTTAACCATGTCAGTAGAATTCTCAAATGTCAGAGACTCTATGGTATACTATGTTCGAGGGGAGGATTGTTGAGGATTGTTGGGAGAGGAGTCCCACATCGACTAATTAAGGGTTGATCATAACCATGGGGAGGATTGTTGAGGATTGTTGGGAGAGGAGTCCCACATCGACTAATTAAGGGTTGATCATAACCATGTCAGTAGAATTCTCAAATGTCAGAGACATTTTGTTAAGGGTTGATCATGGGTTTATAAAGTAAGGAATACATGATGTCTTTTGGATTCTTCAAAAAAAAGCCACGAGAGCTTATGCTCAAAGTGGACAATATCATACCATTGTGGAGGTCCGCGGTTCCTAATAGTTACATAAATTGGTGCCATTAACTTCTTTGATATTCTCTATGAATCTCGGTCGTATTGAGACTATGCTCGTTTGAACACCGGGCCTATAATGAGTCCACTTGCATTGTAGTCTTTCATGACTGAATCGATCAAACCCATAGTTTTCTTTTTAGTGAACAATTTCTGTTCTCCCTTCAGCTGTATTTTTGAAGTTTAGAATCTGAATTTCATAGAACTTTCTCCAAACCTTGTAGATCATAAATGTGTACAATCAAGAGTACGAAAGTGCTGCAGCATTCTGGCCCGATGTCCACAGGCGTGTCATTGTCGCTTTAGTCGTTTCTCAGCTATTATTAATGGGACTACTCAGTACAAAAGAAGCTGCACAATCAACTCCCTTGCTCATTGCACTGCCAATTTTGACTGTATGGTTTCATACATTCTGTAAAGGCCGATACGAACCGGCTTTCGTTCGATATCCATTACAGGTTAGCACAGACCTTATCTCCCTGGTTGTTGTAGCTGAGTTTTAGCTGTTTCAGATCACTTCACCCTGTTGATTGAACTTGCAGGAAGCAATGATGAAAGATACATTGGAACGTGCAAGGGAGCCAAACTTGAACTTGAAAGGACTCCTTCAAAATGCATACGTTCATCCCGTTTTCGTGCACGACGAAGACGAAGTAGAAACCGAAACAGATTCTGAAGATTGGCAGAAGGAGCCAGCGCTGGTGCCAACAAAACGCCAGTCTCGAAGGAATACGCCGTTGCCGAGCAAGCTCAGCAGCCCCTCATCGTCCTCACGGTTTGAAGTTGATGAAGGAGTTTCATAACATTCAGAAGTGGTAAGCTTGCGCTTGCTTGTTGAATGGTGTATATTTTCACTTGGGAAGAAAGGGAAGGAGGTGGTCACTGTAACTGTAAATGATATGATGAGTTGGGATAGTGCAATTTTTTCTGTTCTTTCCTTAGGATTTTTTATAAATTAATTTATTATATGATAATCGAGTATTAGTGAGTTTAATAGAGATGTCTATGGGACGAGGTCGGGATGGCTTTCCCATATCTGTAAAATTCTCCATTTATTATTGCAAGGATTAGGTTTGAATTGGGTCGAGTAATTTTTTTTTAATATTATTTAAAAAAAAAAAACTTACTTATTTATAAAATTTCACATTAATAATTGAAATAGGATAAAACACAAACATAAAATATATTCACAGCTCATAGTTTTATTTTAAGTTGCTTAAAGTTGAGTTTAGATTGAATTATGAACTCTATTTTTGTTTTTGATAGAGTTGACCAGTAAAAGAAAGTTTCAACCCAAAAATTAACCTTACATTGTAAGAACCTAAACCTATTATTAGTAGATATTGTCTACTTTGACCGGTTACATATTGCCGTCAACCTCACGATTTTAAAATGTGTCTGCTAGGAAGTTTACACACCCTTATAAAGAAGGTGAGATCTTACCAACTTAGACCCAAAGAAACCTAACTTAACCCAATTGTTATGGTTTGGATTGGATAGTCTGTATTGTTCAAGTCATCGAGTCATTCATAGTTTAACTTTGAGCGGTTAAAAGGGCTTTTTGGACCTTTGCCAATCTTTTTTTTAATTGTGTTATGTTGGCTGGATTTGCAATTAGCCCTAGAAAGATTTAAAAAAAAAAATCAGCTTAAAAGGAAAAAAAGGGGAAATAAATAAACAAGAATAATTATTAGGAAAAGGGAAAGTATCCCGTTGGACAGGCAAATTTCAAATAGAGAAATGGAGGGAAAATCGTGTTTGTCGTTCAAGTTCTAGTTTCTGAAAGAGCTTCCCGACCCAATCTTTCTGAAGGTCCTTTCTGTGTTTGATTCTTCCAATGGCGGAAGCTCTAAGCCCTAATCCATCAATTGTGCAGAAGCAGAGGCGTCCGATGGCCTCTCAGTTGCAATCTCCGACGAGCCCCTTTTTCCTTGGCTCCAACGACGACCAACTCGAGCGCGCTCAAGCAAGGGCGGCACGCGCTGCAGCAAATCGCCGCAAGTCTATCGCTACCAATCTACTACCTCGCGAAGACCCCAATATTTTCCTCGACAAGCGGCAGATTCTTGAATTATTTCAAAATTGCATCAAACTCGCTAGTGAAAATGTGAGTATCTTTTTACATCTTAGCATTCTCCTTCTTCGGTACTTTCTTCCTTAGTTACTACTAAAATTACACTGTATAAGTACTCACACTAACTGGAATCGTAATTATTTATTGTGCTTTTCTGTTTGGTTTTATCGGTGCAGAAAATTAATCAAAAAAATACATGGGAGCTGAATTTAATTGACCATCTTACTGAGATTATTAAGGTTGAAGAAGAGGACACGGATACAAATTTTCAGAAGGTCGGTTGTGTTCTTCTGACTGATAATAGTCTGGTGAAAGCTGCTATTATTATTGTTATTTTTTTTAACGAATTTGAACAAGAATTGTTACTCAGAAAAAAAAAAAAAAAAGAAAAAAAGAAGCTTTGATTGCTTATTGTGATGATAGCATCAGTTAGCTCTGAGTTGATAAGTCCATGAGTAATCAGAAGACTGACAATTTTTGTGTGTGTGGTGTGTGTGTGTGTTTGTGTTTATGAGTTTAAACAGCAAGATCTGGAAATTCCTTGAGTAGAAAGTTCTCATGCTTCCCCCTTTTACAGAAATTTTAATCAAGCTCGTTCTGTTTTGTGGAATTAATTAATATCACCCCTTATTCTTGAAACAAAATGGGCGTTTCTCATCAATGATCAGGTTTATGGTCTTAAAATTTGGTCGAAAATGTTTGTATGATGTGTTGTCTTTAGGCAAGTTGTACTCTTGAAGCTGGAGTTAAGATCTACTCATTAAGAGTGGATTCCGTTCATTCAGAGGCATATAAAGTCCTTGGAGGGATGAACAGGGCAGGCCAAGAAAATGAGCAAGGTAAGCTTGTAAATCTCAAATTTTTTCCTCTTACTATAGTTTATGAGATTATAAAGAACGTCAATTGAGAATATGAAAGTTCTAAACTGAATACACAAGTTCATTTTCCAATAACAATCCCATTTCAAATTCAATATTATTTGGAAATTATTTATGTAATCCAAACTCAAGGACGTCAACCATCAACGTTCGCTGAACTTGCATAAAGCAACAGTGATTACAAATGTTAGCATCATACTATGTGCTCTGCCATTAGATTTCCATGTAAAATTGGCTGTGCTTAATTTCTCCACTATGTTTCCTTCATTTTCTTCCTTACCTCTTTTGGGTTTCTGGTTTGCAGGATAGTTTTGTATTTCATATTATTTGCTTGTCGTTCTGACATCTAGCTGTATTTTCAGAAACCATCATGCAGGAGAGAAATCTAGAAAGTGAGCAGGAGGGAGTTCATTTGAAAAAAGAGCAAGATAAAAAGGTTAGAAATCTGTTCTGACTAGTAAAATGAATATCTGTCTGGATATCTATGTTAACATATGTCTGTATTTGGCAGTTGTCTCCCTTGTCAACGCTCGAGTCATCTTTTGAGGCTCTAAATGTAAAGAAGTTTGATGGTGATCACACATCTAATGATTTCTTTCTGCTAATGATAGATGAGGATGAGGTTATGATTTGGTTTTGTCTGTTATGTCAGTGGCATTTACGGTGGATCCTCTTTATCATCAGACATCTGCTCAATTTGATGAGGGTGGAGCCAAGGGCCTTCTAATGAATAATCTTGGAGTATATGGTGCATGTAGGGTGCTTTTTGATTCAGATGAAGTGCCTGGGAAATGTATGTCTTGCGAGGATAGACATAATAACACTGATATGATCGATATCTCTTTTGCCAAAGGTTTGTGGTTGTTGATGATAACATCGCGTATATTTCATTTTTCACGTGTTACCCTGTCATGTGGTTCAAAATGAAAAAACTTAACTCTAAAGCATTTTCTTTTTGCTTCTGTAGATTGCATCGAGGAGATGGTGTTCAATATGCGAGTGAAGGATGAAATATCACCAACATTAAGGAATATAGTCAATCTATTTGATGAAGATAACAAACGACCTTTAGATTATTGTAGTTCAGCTCCGAAAGCAGCCGAGGAAGCTAATATGGATATTGATGTAGATGACAGATTTGATGGTGATGATTTTGATAATTTTGGCACTGCAAATTATGATAACGATGACCAAACAAGCATGGTTGATGATGGACCTGGTGGTGGAGATGCAGGTTTTCCAACTTACAATGAGGTAATTTTTTCGATTATTCATATTCATACAATTGGTTTACATTCATGTTAATTATGTAGCCTTGGATTAGGTATTTGAATAATATTGGAACTATTGCTAAAATCTTGAAGTATAACAGGAAAGTGTGTCCTCTACCTACCATAACCCTGATATTGAGGAAAGATCGGAGAAAGTTGATGAATATTTGATTTCATGTTTGGGTTTTACTTTAAGACAGAATGCTTGGGCAGGCCCCGAGCACTGGAAGTATCGTAAAACCAAAGGTATTGTTAAGGAAAATAGGGTTAGGTCATTTTGCAAATTAGCATTTTCATCTTCAGGACTTGTATGTTATGTAATATGGAATCTTACTGTAGGTTCTAGTGATGGTCCTACAGAAAATGGATCAGAAACGACGACTAAGAAAGCAAGAGCTAAGAAACAGGCAGAAAATGACATTGATTTCACAAAAGATTTGGAAAAAGAAGTTTCAGATCTCTTCGCACCTCCAAAAAATTCCAAAGCATTGTTGTTGCCTAAGAATAGAGTACCTTGCAATACTAAGCTTCCTGAAGATTGCCACTACCAGCCTGAAGATCTTGTGAAGTTATTTCTTTTGCCAAATGTAAAGGTAAATTTTGCCACTTCATTTCCATCTCGTTTGCTGTTCAAATAGGGAGCATCCCAGGTTTTAACTTTTTCTAAACTCTTGTGAAATAATTATTTTGGCTGCAGTGCCTTAGGAGAAGAGGAAGACAGCATTCAGGTACTATCTCTATGATATTTAGTGTCATAATTTTCCAATAAAGTTGATTATCCTTAGTGTCTAATTATGACATGCTAATGGACATTTTGGCGTTCCACATTTTTAGATGAACCATTGCAGCATAACGATGATTTTGAAACATCGCCATCCTGGGAAGATGATAATGTATTTGGTGGCCAATACGATGAGGGTGATGCTCATAGTGATGTGGAGGACTCAGATGCTCTTGTTACTCAGCCTCGCCAGGTTCATTTAATTTCACTAAAAATTTCATTTTGACCCATTGTGAATGATAATGAATCAGATGTATGAGGATTTAGTCTGTCTATATCTGGCAAAATGTAATTCATCTTCTGATGAATTTGTGTTTGGTAGGACTCGGTAAGAAATTAAAGATGCAAAGATATTTTTCTTGATTGTTTCCTCCTTAACGGTACAGGTTAACAAAATTGAAGTTCAATACGACAAAACATCTAAGCAAGTTGATGTCCAGGCATTGAAAGAAACACTCTGGTCCCATTTACAAGAATCTCAAACGGATGCCCAGGTATCTTACTAAACTTAACTTGATTTGAGGACATTTTAGTATGTGAACAATACACGAACTTCCCAAATAATTTGAAGACATTGATAATTGGATCTATCATCTATGAGTTGAGTTAGGGTAGAAATGAATTGTAGAATTCCAACTTGGGTATAATTCTTTTTAAAGTTCATCTTTTATCATTGTTATTACACAATCACACACACACAAGTAATCCTGTGAATGGATAAATTCTAATCCTGATATGTCCTTGAAAGGGTGACGATGAAACAGTATCTTTCAAGCAAATTCTTGCCACCTTTCCAGATGACTGCAGAGCTGCTCAAACCATCAATGATATCTCGCCCCATTTGTGTTTTATATGCCTGTTACATTTAGCTAACGAGCATGGGTTAAGTATAAATGGCTATGACCACTTGAACGATCTCACTATTCACTTTGGTCGTCAAAATTGATTCAGTATAATACTTGTGAAACTGTGTACCCCTTCGTTTTCTACAGGTTGTAATTTATCACTGTATCATGTACTAGGCTGCTGCCATTGATGGTGCCATTTAGTCGGAATATATTGTTGTAGAAATTTGAATCAAGAAATTCCATTTCCTGCTTTACTTTTGTTTATGCTCGTTCTTTTTCTGTTGTAATTATAAGCTTAGTTTATAAAGTTCGTTCAGATAATTTGTTAATCGTTCTTTATGTCAAGCAATCTCTTTGATCTCTTGTACGTTCTTTATGAACAAAGATGATATTTAATCGTTCTAGGGACAAGAAGTTAGATGAGTTGTCTAACCTACTGTTCTACCAAATATTGAAACAGCCCATTAAGCATCAAAGAAAAATTTGCTAGATAACCTTGCCCTGCCAAAGGTTTTAGGTCCTAATCTCTTGGAGGGAAAGGAGAGGCATCTGGTTGGTATCTTTTCCATAATATATCACTATCTTTCATGTTCATACAAGTGGGAGTTTGAAAAGAAACCTAAGTGGGATATGTAAAAAGAAAAACCTGGGCTCCCAGTATAGATTAATCAAATTCCAAGCTACTGTCAAAGCACCTGTTTAGCATCGGGTCATTCATGAAGTTTGAACGATATCACGAGCAGCATGTGACATGACAATGTCGTCTCTCCATCCTCTTTGGCGAGCCCTATTCTCCCATAATGCTGTTAGCTTCTTCTGTGAAGCTAATGTAGCTTCAGCTCTTTCCCTTGCTGCTTCACATGTTTCCATGCCTGAATTGCACTTGTCTGCTTCTTTCTGATATTGAGATGTCATCTTCTTTGCTTCCAGAAGAGATATGTCAGCGCGCCGATGACGTTCCATGGCTTTGGCTTCCCTCAGCTTCAGTTGCTCGGACAACAACTCTGCAAAACTCTCTTCTGTTTCCTCATTCATGCCAGAGTCATGTTTCACACAATCTGTAAGAATGGAAACAAAGAGAGAACTCATTCTATGTTACTAAAGAAATAGAACATCTACATAAAAAACAAGAAACCAATAATGCTACTTAGCAAGTGGCAATCATATCACTTCATTAGTTACATTTGTTGCTGATATGATATGCAAATTTGAGACCATAAGACATCATTTGATGTAGCAATTTGAAATACAAAAATAAGAGGGTAAAACTTTGAGCTTGATTCTACTGGAGCAAGACGATCATGCTAGTAGTAGCTTGTAGTTCTTTTCCTCTTTCCTAGTAAAAATATTGGGCAAATTCTAAGAATTTTCCTTGATTAGACATGAGTATGAGAATCAGTACAAATTCAAGAACAGAGCAAAAAATTCTTGCAAGAGGATGAGATTTTCTACAATCTATAATATACAAGAATAATCATTTATCCAAATTAGCGTAAACAAGACTAACCTCTAAAAGTCGTGTTTTCAAACTCTGCAAAGCAAGCAAACCAATTTAAGAATCAGTTTTAAGATAACCCATTGCAAGGGAAACTAAAAGAATGAATACTCTCACAGTGTCAACATAAGGCACACAAGCTTGTGGACAATGAATATAGAAAAACAACAACCATCACTCTGTCACAACAGCCCAAACCCCACCGCTAATAGATGTTGTCCGCTTTGACCCGCTATATATCGTTGTCAGCTTCATGATTTTAAAACACGTCTACTAGGGAGAGGTTTACACACCCTTATAAAGAATGTTTTGTTCCCCACTCCAACCAATGTGGGATCTCACAGCTTCAGAATTGAATACTTGAATACTTACAAATACATACGAGAATACTTGAATACTTACAAATAGCATATGAGAATACTTGAATACTTACAAATAGCATAGCAGAACACAGCCAAAGGAAAACCACATGAAGTAAACATTTACTGATTACAAAGATGTAATGAATGTGGGTTTCAAACCAAATCAAGGTACTACGAGTACTACAAGTTTGACTCCAAGCATTATTCTACCTTTAGTTTCAACATCAATCGACACCGAGCAACAAGATAGCTTCGGCACTAACGAACATGTTGAATGAAACTGTCTCTTATCAAAAAATAAAAATAAAAAAATTCTTAAGCAAGAACTTCAAACATTCAAAAGTAAGTCTCTACTCCATATCAGTACAACAGATAACAGAATATTCTTTGCAATATTTTGTTCTATTTCTTGTTTTGGTAAGGATACAAGTGAAGCTTGTAGAATTTAAACTCTGGATAAAGACTTTAAATCAAACTAGATTTAATCCTCAAACCTTAACATAATTTGCAATGATAACACAAATAATAAAAACAAAATAAGATTGAAGTCCAGCGATGGCAGATTTGAATATAGAAAAGCTGAAACCATCAATGGCTAAAAGAAGATAACGGGTGGGAATTCGAACCTACAAGCCTTTTAAACGAAGCAAAATGCATTTACAGTTCAAGTTGGCTAAAGTATTATTGTTCCATGGCAGCACAGTGGAGCATAAAATACTTGTTTTTGGCATTTGAGACCAAATTCACTATTAACATGATCCTCCTCGATCAAGGAGAAACAGAATCAAGCAACTGAAGAATTTTCAGCTAAAAAAAGAAAAGAAAAGAAAAAGGTAGCAGTCGTCTAAACTTTTGGCAACATGGAACATGAGATCAAAGAGGAAATCAGAAAACAAAAGGAAAGGACACAAAAGAGCGGAAAGAAACTAGATCTGCAAGAATATGATGCCTAAATCTAGAGTATTTCATTTCCGGACAAACTAACCATCAGTGAAGGCGAAGTCAGTCTGAGAAGAACAGTCACAAAAGCAAGGTGGACAAGTTGAGGAATAGGAAGAAGAAAGAACAGCCAAGCCCTCCATGAAGTGCCAGTAGAGAGGCGGACCCAAAATGTAAGCAGCTATACAGAGAGCTATAAAACCCAATCCCACCTTCGTCAGTCCTGGAGAGCACGAACCCGCCGGCTTCACTGCCATTCCTAGACCTTTCTGTATCTCCTCTACTTCTCTGTGTGTGTCCAGAAATGAGAAATGGAAAATGGAAACGAGCTCGTTGGAGAAGATGAATTACAGAAGGAAAAGCGGAATGGAAATCAAACGCAGTGGGGATTGGGGAAATCATGAAACTCATCTAAATTATAATTTTAATATATATTTTTTGAAATTTTAGTTTCAAAAACTTCAAATTTTATTTTAGTAATTAAAGAATAAATAATCAAAAATATTTAATATATATATATATATATATATATATATATATATATATATATATATATATATATATATATATATATATATATATATATATATATATTTATTGAAGTATAGCGCTCATTGACATGTTAGGGAGATGTTTTTACACTTTTAAGAAATATTTAGAGAGATTTACATACAAATGTTTCGTTCTCCTCTTCAACTAATGTGGGATCTCATAATTCATTCCTTTTAGAGTCTAGTGTTATTGTCTTACAATCCATCCTTTTTGGGTTCAGTATTCTCTCCCATCCATATAAGATTTCACAATTCACTCCTTAGGGTTCCAGTGTTCTCGTCACACAATCTATCCCTTTGGGAATCTAGCATCCTTATTGGCACACGGTTTGTTGCTTGGAGCCTATCGCTATATTGGTATACCACTCTGCATAACTTTGATATCATTTATAACAACTCAAATCCACTGCTGATAGATATTATCCGTTTTAATCTTAAGTATCACAGTCTTTACCTATTAAATAAACGTGATTGTGGATAAATTTTTATCTCTAAATCCAAACGAATCTCTAAGAAAAAGAAAAGAAAAGAAAAAAAAAAAAAATCCTACCAAGTCGGAAGCCGCGACTTCTAATAGCGAGTTCTTCATTCCACGATACGCTGCGTTTTGGACATTCTCTCCGTAGTCTGTACCGAAATGCCATCCTCTCCGTCACCGAGAAAGGAATCGATCTTCATTATCGAAATCCACACAGGAGCCAAACTCTGTCGCTCACACTAGCCGGAGACACGCCGAACACCTTTAAACCCTCTCAATGGCGTTCCAAATCCCTAACGATCTCATCAAACAACTTCAGATCTCACTTCGAAATGAAGCCAAACTCTCCTCCTACGACCCTCACGATTCTTCACTTCCTAATCTACCGTCGCTCCATGAAACAATTGCTAAGCTCGACCCTTCGCCGCCTTATCTTCGTTGCAAGCACTGCAAAGGAAGATTGCTTAGAGACTTGAAGTCATTTGTTTGCGTTTTCTGCGGCAAGGAACAGAACACGGAGGTCCCTCCAGACCCTATTAATTTCAAGAATACCATCGCTTGCCGTTGGCTGCTTGAGTCCTTGGACTTGGATGGATCGGTAGGTTCTACTATTTTGTTAGGAATCTTTAGATTTTGTTTTGCCCTTGTATATTTGTTAAGATTCGTGTCGGAATAGGGAAAAGTTCAACTTCAGTTTCTCCTGTTCTAACGTAGGCGCTTGTGTATTGTATGAGTTACTTACACATTTCTCTAGGGAAGATTTATTGCGAAAAATTTGTCGCCGATTCTAAAATGCTGCATCAGTTCAAATAGACTGTAGGCTTGATGGAAAACTTTGGTTCTAGTTTCGGAGAAAAATCTGTTAGAATTATAAAAGCTTCTGTTCTTGCATGGATTTACTATCTTAATTCTAATGCTCATGGTTGTGGTATTCATGGAGTTCATCTGTGAATTCATCTGAAATGGATAATTTTCAAAGTTGATTTTAGCACGAAAGTAGTTTCTGCATTTAGGTCAGTAGGATTAGATTGTTGATTGATGTTGTTGCATGCCTGGGATTCTTACGGGCTGATCCTCTGAAATGTATTTGGAAATCTTTTGCAGGAGATGGTGGGGCATATGGATTTGAAGGAATCAAACCGAGGAAAATCAGCTGAGGAGTTTCCCCTCACTGATCTTCTAGATTTAAAGATCAGGTGGCCTGAATCTGAAAAAAGGGGGCTCTCAGACAATACTCTGGCTCCAAGTAAAAGTACCTTGAATTTGGCTGAAGTTGATCTTGACAACTACTTTTCTGAGGAAAACAAAGACACTACCTTAAAAGTATCAGATGAGCCACTGAATCAACAAATTGATGGTTCTGAAAGAAAAACTTTTCAGGACAATGTAGATCTTAGTTTGTTTGGAAATGTTCAATCTTCTGAGACAGCGACAAGGATCAATGAACATGAGAGTAGTGATTCCTTTTCTGGTTGGGAGGCAAACTTTCAGACTGTTAACTCTGCAACTTCTCATAATAATTCTAAATCAGTTGATCCTTTTGCTATTTCTGGGGTCGATATTTCTTACTCTTTGGAACTAACATCTGGACACCAGAACAAGTATAGAAGTGGAGAAATAGAAGAAACAAAAAACCCCTCTTCATCAATGACCAGTGACTGGTTTCAACAACAAGATGATTTATGGAGTAGTTCAAACCATGAAACCATTTGCACGCCTGAACAGGTCGACCAAACTGGATTTGATGGAAAAACTGTAGGGACTGCAGATTATTCTTCATCAGCAAGTGTTGATTGGTTTCAAGATGATCAGTGGCAAGGAGGGAGCAAAAAGCCTGATGATAATAGTGATTTCAAGGATGACGACTCAGCGGATGCTTGGGATGATTTTACTAGCTCAACCGGCATGCAAGGCTCTTTGGATAATTTCGGGAAAGATATTGTTAATAACATTGTGCCAAAAGTCGATGAAATATCAGAAATAGATTTCTTCAGCACAACGACCTCGAAGGATATTAATTTTGGAAACTTTTCTCAGCCAAATTTATTTGTGGAAGCCTTCCCCAATTTGAATGGTGGTACATCAGAAGAGAAGGCAACACGGCCCGATGCTTCTGATTTAAGCAGGTATGTACAAATTAATCAAATATTGTTATAAGGCAACTGAAAATACAATATTCTTACAGTTGACGCCATGGCTAGGAGGTTCCCTGTTTTCATATTCCTCCTTATGCCCCACTAAAATTGTTTGGTCATCAAGTCTGGTTTAGACTCTCCATCAATCGTCACTCATTCATGCAAATGCATCACTCCCTTCAAGCTTTCACTTATTATTTTTCTTTTTTAAAACAATCAGCCAACTTATTCCATACCTTTTACATTTTTCATGTTTTAGGATGAGTGAAGAGAACGGGAAAAGTGGAGAAAATTCCAAAGCTACGAAGGAAATTCAGGCTTCATCCGCTCCAAGTTCAAATTTAGATGACGTACAGATGATGATGGCGAAGATGCACGACCTTTCTTTTATGCTCGAAAGCCATCTTTCAATCCCACCAAAGTGATGCATCTTTAGTTCTTCTTCTGAAGAGTACGCGCTGCCACTGAGCTTTTCATGTATTTTCCTTTCCCTTTTCCTTTTTAAATCTGTTGCAGCGTAGTGTTGGTTATAACTGAAAATGCATTCTTTGATTTTATTAAATGGCCATATGCCGTTGTTGCCAATTGCAGACATAACACTAACATACTGCCGATTCACATGACTGACATACTCCTTTCAAACTAACATATACCCTCCATTCAACATAAATCCTCTGTATTCCCAGATGACTGTTTTATTCATTGAATAAATCTGTATATGTGACATAAGTAGACAGCCCCTGGAGCCACCGCAGGTGACTTTACAAATAGTAAATAGTGGGAGTCCAATATTTGCCATTGTGAGTCAGTCCCTTCATAAGGATGATCATAGGGATAAAACTAACTTAGCTTGAAGACAGAATTTTAGTAACTGACCAAAATTTATTCATTTCACTTTGTAGACATTCGACACAAGTATACAAACAAGAAAGCCAAAGCACTGGATTTGAATAGGGTGGACCATGGAAGCCCATAGCTTCCCTTTGCAAACATCCCCTTCAAAATTGGCCAGAAGCATAAAACCAACCACACACTGCATGTCACCTCACCCACCCCAAACTCTTGACGGCCTGGCTGTGTTCCCAAGAAACCGATTGAAAGTGCCGCTAGTTGAATCATCATAATGGTTGTGATTGGCACAAACATTGGGGACTCATCAAATGTGAACCGACCCAAATCTCTATCACTACTCTCTGTGTCATCACTAGAAGAAGCTGACTCCTTTTTTGTTACCTCGAACGTCGTCTCTGATAGTCCTAAAATCTTCAAAAGGACAGCCACAACTCCAAGCAAGCAAGAACACATTGACTTAATCATATCCATTCTATGGTTATTCCACCAGGCTCTTATGGATTGGTCTGTTTCGATGTACCCTAACATCTGTCTTAGGACGAAAAGGATGAAAAGGAGCAGAGGTATGCATATTACTGGTTCCTGTACCTGCATTGAGAAGGCCATAGTTGGTTACCTCAAATTTACTTAACAAGTCTTTAATGAAACTTGAATATCTCTGATTTTTTAGATGGTGTAGAGATTGTATTGTATACTTACCTTGGGCAGAAAATGAAAGTTGGCTATTAGACAAAATGCTGGCAGAAGAGCGTAACATATCTCTGGAATAGCTTGAACGCTCGTCAGGTACATCCATAGATAGAACATACGTTGCCTAAATTGGAGCTTATCAAAGAGAGCAGTGGCAATGGGGGAGTTTCTGCTAATTAAGGTTTCAAGTAGCCCTGTGGTTGCTCTCTTATGATGGTTTAATGGAATTGGGCCGCCTGAGGGTGCACATCCTAGGAAGGCTGGTGGAGTTGGTGTAAGGTATGCAGATTTCCATCCCTTTTTATGGATCAACATCCCTGTCAAAACGTCCTCCACTAATGATCCATATTGCCAACCCACCTAAGGACCAATCAGCAATTATTAAAGTAAACTAAGGTGGAAAAGCAATCAGCAATTATTGAAGTAAACTAAGGTGGAAACCAACAATTCTTTGTGTCCCAAACTAATAAATCCAGCCCAAATAAATTGATAACTAGGTACGGTTTTGGGTTGAGTTGATCAAGTTCTTCCGGTCGTCTATAGAAAGGTCGTCGATTTTTTCTATCTTCTCAACTAGATTTGGTGTAGAATCAACTATCTTGAGCTCATGAAAATTAGAACCAAAAGCATTATTTGAAAGCTAACCTTGGAACCCCAACAAGAATTGTGTTCATAATCAGCAGTAGCA